AACCTAACACATAAGACACCATGGTTGAAATGCACATTCTTGTCTTTGGCTTCAACAATTTAATTTGTCTACTGCTGTCTGGGGTGGTGGGGGTGGTGGTTATGGAAAGAGAGAAAGAGGGAGAGAGGGAGGGAGGGAAGGAAAGAGAGAGAGAGGGACAGAGGGACAGAGGGACAGAGGGACAGAAGGACAGAGGGACAGAGGGAGGGAAAAGGAGGGAGGGAGGGAGAGAGAGAGAGAGGGAGAGAGAGAGAGAGAGAGGATAGTAATTAATGTATATTTACCTCTCCCCATTCATATGAGCCAATGTTGCCAAAAGCTGTTCCTCCCCAGGAACAGAAAACAATACTGCGGTTTGGTCTCCATCCTCTCTTAACTCTTAACATCAAGGACCGGATAAGAGCTGTGATTATGGCAGTGCTACTGGCCCATTCTTGTCCACTATAACTGTATGCAGTATGATGGTGGCTGCCAACTATAATATACCGGTCTGGAAATAGAAGGAAACAAGAGCCATTAACAATAAATTTAATGACATCTACATAATCCTATTGTGCAACTGAGTAACAATTATGCAAAATTGTTCTAATAATTAAGACCACTTTACATTTTTCACCCACTGTCTTGATTCACACATCTGTGTATATCAAAGCAGAGGCAGCTGCTGAACTCAATTATAAATCCAAAGCTTAGTTCCATATTACTGTCCTTTGCAACATGCATATTAATTAATGAGGTATACAAATATGCCACAATGAAACCTTTATCTAACATTTTCCCAGAATCATAGTGGGAAGTGTCCTGTAAACAATATGTGTATGCTCAGTAAATATTAATGAACTCTTAATACATTTGAGGGAATAGTTATTTAGTAGCTGTAAATATTTTAAAAATGTGGTAGTCATGAATGGATTTTATAATAAATGAAGCATTGAGGGAATTAACTGTAGCTTCCAACTTATAGTTTTAACCTCTCTTCTTTCTCTGAAGAAAAAAAAAATCAATGATATCAAGAGGCTTCCAACTACTGTAAAAGTTCCCTTGTCACATATTTTATTTAATATAATCATATAAAGTCTATTAGAAAGGTCTCAATGACACATGAATATGGCTGTTCAATGTACATTACTGGCTATTGTTATCGATAAGGTAGGGTAAAAATGTACTTCTGGAATTTTCTCTGGTTTTGTTGTCAGCAAATATTATTGGTAGAGAGCTAAATTTATGTAATTAAGTAGTCCTTTACATTTGCATAAATAAAACTTTTCCAGTGAGTGTAATTTCATTAGGAGATGTTCCGTAGCTCAACGGTTATGTGTGCAGGCTCTGAAGCCTGCCTGCTTGGGTTTGTACTCAGGCTATTCAACTTACCAGCTGTGTAAACTTAGGTAGCTTATTTAACCTCTTTATGTCTTAATTTCTTCAACTATCAAATGAATAAAAATAGCACATGCATCATTCAGTTGCTTTGAGTCTTAAGTTAGTCACTATTTGTAAGGCACTTTGAACAGTACCTGACACACACTAAGTATTGCATATATGTAGAATGAATTCATCACCAATTGACTCATGGTATCAAAAATCTACCTTATGGGAAGGAAACATCACTCTGTGAAGCTATTTTAGTTTTCCACACTGATATTGGAACCAGCAATGAATATGATCTGCCTACATTTTAACAAAATCTAATGCATGGTATACATAGTGTGTCTGTAAATGTTGGAACCCTGAGAATTTCCCAGATATGCATGAAAGTTCTGTTTGAGATTGTCTTTATTCTAAATAAACCACATCTAAAAATCTTAATACTAATTGATGATTGATTCTAACCTTCAAAATCATTAAAAAATTGTATGACTGAACAGCCAGTATTTTTTGTAGAATTTAGATAAGCAACATTGGAGAAGCTTTGATAATATGCACTGAAGAATACTACTGGTAAGTTAATTATGTTTTTTTCTGTACTGAATTTCAATATGGAAACGTTTTACCCTAAAGCTAATATAATATTGTGCAATATGGTTTTTCGATAACTTGCAAATTCGTGAATGTTGATATATACTTCTAGTGCTTCAATTATAGATTCTTATGATGGGAATTTGTTGAAATGGTTGAAATGCAATGGTAACAATTTTCAAATTTATTTATATTTTGTGTTATGATCAGTTGTTCAATATTGCTTCTGTAAGGAATTCAGAGAGAATACATACCTCCCAAGAATTTTGTAAGAGTTGGGTGGCAAGAAACCGAGGGGATGTAAACTTTGATCTCATAATGCTCTGGGTTAGCAATTGTGGGATCAATTTGACTAAAGTCATGGAGAAGAATAATTGTCCAAGGAAAACTTGAGTAATTGTCCCAACCGAATGAACAAAAATGCCACAAGTGTACTAAAGACATCATTGCATCCTACACTGTATAACAAGCATATCAGACACTAATATATGATTCAATCTCCCAATGCATTTGGAAGTGTTGCTATTAATCTCTTATTATATGTGTCAGTTATTTTTACTTTTTTAGCCTGTGTAATATCATCTCAAGATTCCATCAGTACCTTATAACAAAGTGTAAATTTATTTAAAATTTAACCAGGTTATCATTTTTATAAGCATCTTCAAAACCTAAAGCCATGCAGATATTAGGCAGAACTATCAGTGGAACAAGGGTTAGAGTTGGGATATTGATTAACAATAAAATATTAGATCTGAAGACAAAAAAAAACATTAATTTTTAAAAAACATATCATTAAATCTAAAATATTTTCTTTTTTCAAAAACCAATTTTTTTCTTGATAAAATTGCCTTCAATGGTGTTATACAGAATAAAATGACCAAAAAAGAAAACATTGAATTTTATAGCTTTTTTTCACTAGGCAAATGCCAGTTTAAGAAATCTAAACTGTTTTCTACGTTTTGTTTTTCTTTCCCCCTTGTGCTCCCAATGATTTATTTTTGAAGACATATGGTAAGAAAGAATATAAACCTACTTCATAGTTTCGTATGACCCTCTCTTCAAGTTGTACAAACTTCTAGTTACATATATCTAAAGTAGGATATTTAGCTATGCTATTAAATTATTAAAGAGCAATTCTTTGTGATGTTTCATATAAAGTGTAGATTATAAACACTTAACCCTACTTACCTGGAGAAGTCAAGCCCTTTAAACATCCAACAACATTAGTAACTGTTTTGAATTCCATGACTGTCTGAACTTGCATCTTGACAATTCTTTCTTCTGGAAAAAATAAAAAAAAAAATAAAAGATGTTCATTTCTCTAAATTGTATATGTCTTTTCTTAAAACATTCAAATTTATTTATCCAATATCATCAGCAAAAGAATTGCGGCAATTAAATTTTTGTATATAACTAAACTTACACTTTCTAACAAATATTTATTCAGTACTTTGTGTAGACTCTATTTTAGGTGTTAGTTATGCAATGATGACTAAGATACAACTGTTAGCCTCAAAATGCAGAGCTATAACAGACAAATTTCACATTTAGGGCTGCAATGGGATTCAACATGAGAGGACACAGAAACCAACCTGAGGAAGATGGGGGCAACTCATATTAAAAAAAAAAAAAGAAAGAAAAGAAAAAAATATGTATCAGATAAAAACAGTTGCAAAGAATTTTAAGTACTTTTCTAACATCAGAAAATGAACATGTGGAAGATATTTAAATTTTTCTATATGATTCATTGTTACATTATCACTTTGAAAATTGTAAAAGCATTACAAAAATTAAAAGAATAAAGATTCCTAAAGCTATAGATTTCTTCAAATATTGGAGTCTTCATTTCCACCTGTGTCTAGGTCTCTCACCTGTATTCTAAATCTCCACCAAGTGCTCTGCCTCTTGAATTCTTTTATCCATGCATGACATTCAAAACTTTTGATAACAAATAAGGCAAAGACACCAATCAGGAGAGACTCCAGTCGCAGTGCTAAAGTGACCTTTGAAGGTCATTGGTGGTAACATGTTAATCCTATATTTAGTAGAATCTGGAAGTCTTGGGGGCTGTTTCTAAGAGAGGTAGGTTCAATGGTATCCAGGTGGTAGTGTGGGGATGGTGTGGCAAATACAAAGCAGCTACTTCAAAATAGATATGCTATAGTACTAACAAGCCTTCAGCCAACTACTAGATGGAAATTGTTATGACAAATAAGTTGCTTCTTCCCTGGATGTACCCTACTAACAGTTTAAATGAAAATCAGTACACTGAATTTGTTAAAATTATAACTAAAACAAGAATAAAGAGGAACTGAGATAATGCATGAGAAATTCATTATGAAGAAAGAAAATCTCTTGAGTCGAAGTATTGTGGTTTTAACTTAGGTGCTATGTATTTTTGTTTGTTATAAATTAATACAGTTTGTTTTTTAGAGCAGCTTCAGATTTACAGAAAAGTTCAAAGACAGTACAGCTCCCAAATATCCTCTTTTTCCCCTGTGCCCTATTATTAACATCTTTCATTAATGTGATGGATTTGTTCCCACTGATGAGTCAATATTAATACATTATTATTACTAAAGTCCATAATTTCCATTAGGGCTCATTTTTTGTGTTGTATACTCTATGGGTTTTGACAAATGCATAATGACATGCATCCAACTTTACAAAATAGTAATTATATATTGGGTTGTCAGAAAAGTCATGACACATTTTTGCAACGAAAAACATAGAAAAATGTGTCATGATGTTCCCGACAGCCCAATACATTGTACAGAACAGTTTCACTGCACAAAATATCCCCGTGCTATACCTATTCATCCTTCCCTTCCTCTCTCCCTCTTGAGGCCCTGGCAACCACTGATCTTTTAAATCTCTCCACAGTTTTGCTTTTTCGAGAACATCATATAGTTGCACTCATATGTCTGATTTTAATGTTTCCTTAATTCTCTATTCTAAGTTTGTTCCAAATAGTCTAGATAAGTAAACTTTAGATAAGAGAGTCATTAACTTATAGTATTTTTTGATAATCTTTCTGCTTATTTTTTACTTAGCTATGGCTAATCCTCCCTGGTTTTGTAAGAGTGAATATTGTTTTTTTCCTAATTCAGCAGTAAGAAAAACTTAAATTATGTACAAATGTACTATACAGTTAATACAAATGTGCAATATACTGCTTGGAGTATTACCTCACATTAACAGAGTGCATTATAGCTTATAATAGCTATTTTCACAAACAGAAACTAATTCTCATTGGATCGCAGTGATTCTTGAAACCACCAATAAAATAGGTTCTATTATTATTATTATTTTAATTAAATGAAGCACATAGGGGCAACATTGGGGCTCAAACCCAGGTCTGCCTATAGATAATATTTTTATCAGAACACTAAATTAAATCTCACAGTAAGACTTCATATTTTTATTATGAGACACTCCTTATATAAAAGAATAAAAAATAGTAATAGCACAATATACAATGATGATCCACATCAAGTTTTAACATGTTATTTTATTATATTTCCTTCACCAAACCCTTTTCCAATGAGCAAAATAAATACAATCTTACAGATTTAGTTTTTACTCTGAGGTTAACATGAATCATTTCAAGCTTTTGTTATATAGATAAAGATAGATTGATAGATTGACAACCAGATTGATATAGACAGACATAAGCACAGGCACAGACATAGACATGAACATATTCTTCTACAGGCCATGACATTTTAAACAGATTATATATTTTTTTCCCACTCAGCATTATCTTTTTCATAATTTTCCATGAAAGTAAATGGAGATCTTGATCATTCATTTTAACTGCTAAGAGGTATTTGATTGTAGAAGCCACCCCAGTTTATTGCACAGTTCTATTACTGAGGATTAGTGAGGTTATTTACAAATTTTCAACATTACATTGTGGCAAAGAACATTTTTATATTTTTTGAGCATGTGTGCCATATATTCTCAGATAGATAATTAAAATGTCTGAGTTATAATATAGAATGTGTAGCTTTAACTTTATTTGGTAGGGAGAAATTGCACCTCAGACTTACATTTTGACATTCTGATGTGTATAAGAATCTCATTATTATTTTATTTTGCATTGCCTTGATCTAGTGAGGTTCAGCAATTTTTTATAAGTATATTCATAATTCCAGTTTCTTATTCATATTCTTTGATTATTTTCCTTTGAGTTATTTATCATTATGGGTATTTTTGTGGATTTTTTAAAGAACACCATTCCCTTATTAATTATATGTATTGTAAATACTTTTTCACCTGTTATTTTCATTTTCTCAATATTGATTATGTTTGAAAATATTAATTTGTTCAAATTTATCAATATTCACCTTGAATGCTTTTTATTGGGGGGGGACGCGTTATGTTTATATTGTTTTGTTTGGCTTAGGAAACACTTTCTTATGTTGATGTCAGGAAAGTGTTTTTCTCAAGAATTTTAAGCTGAATTTTCAAATTTGTGTCTTTAATCCCGCCAGAATCTGTTATGAATCAGAGAAGTAAGCATTCAATTTTACCTCTGCCTCACAAATAGTCAATTTTTCTCAATAATTTATCTGAATAATTTTTTCCAATGAAGCATTAATAAAGCTACTGTCATATGAGAAGGTCTAATCCACACATAGATTTGATATTTGCCTTGCTATTGCATTTTACTTTAACCAGTGTCATAGTGTTTAAATGAATATAGTTTTATGACTGAAATGGTGGGTCTTCTATCATCATCATCATCATCATCATCATCATCATCAAAATCATATAATTATTCAATTAGGGGGGTATTTATGGACCATTATTTTCATATGAACTTGTAGTTTGCCATGTATCAAAAAAAGACATTTCAGGATGTCATTAGGATAGTATTAAGATAATGGACCCATTTGAGAAAATTATATTGAGACTTCTATCCATGAACACATTGTGCTTCTCAATTTATTTCAGTTGACTTTATGTCATTTAATAAAATTTTATTTTTGCTTCATAAAAGTTTTGCACAACTGTTATTAAATTTATTTTTACTGTTTCTCATCCATGTTAGCAAAATATAGCATGTATAACATACTCTATTGTGTATACGGGTGCCATTTGATTTTGTATCTTGGTCTTATGATGAGCCTCCTTATTAATCTCCAATAGGTTCTAACAGTTGATCTATAGGGGTTTTATTTTGTTAGATTTAATGTAGACAGTTATTTACCAAAGGAAAAAAAATGATAGATTTGTTTATTTCTTTCATATTTTTGTAGCTTTTACTTACTGTCCTTATCATCTTGTCTAGGACTGCCAGTACATTGTTAAATTGCAGGCAGGGACAGCAGTTTTCCTTGGTCCTTGTATGTTCTTCATACAAAAAATAATTAAAACCGAATGTTTCTAAGATTTTATTATTTTTAAAAAAGATGTTTGCTATAAGTTTCTGGCAAATTCCCTTTATCAGGTTAAGAAAAATAATTTGTATTCTTAACTTTGCTAAGAAATTTTATCATAAACAGATGTTAAAATACTTTATGGGATAATTATAAGACTTTTTCTTTTTTTCACTTTACAATGTTAAATAAATTGTATATATTCCTGGAATAAGCTCTGCCTGGTCATATGTATGCAGTGTTCTGTTATTATTATTTTTAGAATATTTGTATATACATTTATAAATGATTGGTTGATGATTTAACTTCTCATTTCCTTGTCTGATTTTGATATCAGTATTATACAATGTCACAAATGTTTAGGAATCTTTACTTCTTTTCCTAGATTCTGTAAGAGTTTGCATAGCATGGGCATTATCCATTTTATAAAGAAGTGTTAGGGTTCATATATAAAACTATTTGCTCCTGGTATATTTTTGTGGGGGAAAAGGATACATTTTCTATACTTTTATTTAATGTATATTTTCATTTCATTTCACTTAATATTTTCAAACAAATATTATTAAAATGGTTTAAGCACATTCAGATTTTTAACTTTTTTTTCTTCTAAATTTACTTGCATTTAGTTATTCATTCTATTCTTATGCTAAAAAAACCACTGCCATTTAAGCTGTTATTTTGTCCCTTTTTCTACTTCTAACAGTAACTTATGTCTTTTTTTTCCCCTTCATCAGTTTGGCTAGAAGTAAGCTAATTAGTATTAAAAAAACAAAACAAAACAGTTTTGGAGTGAATACTTGTTCTTATTTCCTTTCTTTTTCACGTCAATATTAAGTTCTATGCTTATTATTGTCTTTATTAAATTTTACCTGAATGTATTCCTTTGTTTTTTTGTTT